AGGGGAGGCAGAGAAGCCGATCCTACTGCCCACAGACACAGCAACGCGGTGGCGGGCCAGGACTCTAGCATGGGCGGCCTGAGCCTCAGGCCCCTGACCCACCCGCACTCCAGGCACAGAGCTCCCTATGCACGGAGAGAAAAGGGCCTCGACCATCATGAATCTTCTGCGGCCGTCATCAGCCCCACTGGCCCAGGGACAGCTTGAGAGTACCATAACTTACACAGACGCAGGGGGGCACAGGTGACAAGACGCAGGGCGACACAGGTGACAAGGCCTAAGCACACTCCAGGCAGTCTGAGAAGACAGCCTAAATGCTTCACACCAGCAGCAAGGAAAGAGCCACCAAAGAATTAAGACCCTGATGCGATCCTAGCCCCACCTCAGGGCTTACAGAGCGCCCATCGGCCCGCAGGCTGCCAGGAAAGTGCACAGCCAAGGGCAGCACTGCTTGGAGCTGGAGGTGGGAGCGTGCAAGAGGGCCACCCGCCCGCCGAGGACCCTCACCAAGCAAGGGCCCAGGCACCCCTAGCCACGGCCCAGGCACTCATAGTGGCTCATGGCCCCTGACAGCTTGAGGCCGAGGGCTCTTGTGAGGCAGCCTCACCCAGAGGGGGCAGAAGGCAATGCTTTAAACCACCTGCAGTGACGGGAGGGTCAGAGCCATAACGCACTTCAGGCGGGGCCCAGAGGCCCAAGAACTCATCCCTCCCAAGTGTGCGGCAGGAGCACACAGGGCAGGGGCTGAGGGACCGGTTCTCGAGAGTCCACGGCAGACAGAGATGCAGACAGCTCCCCCTGCACCTGCACCGGTCACCGGCTTTTCCTGGCTGCCTTGCATGGCGGCTTCCTCCTCAAACCCCCATCCAAGAGGCCAAGAGCCACGTCCCACCACAGCAGAGGAACAAGTGATGAGACCCTGCTCTGCAGCCACATCAAGCACTTGGCAGGGGCATGGCCTCTGTCCTTAGGTGAACATGTGGTGCTCTGAACCAGACAGACCAGCCTCCAGATCTGTCTGTCCCACCTGCAGCTCAGGTGTCTCTGCTGTACAGAATAAGGACAGCACCCAACCCGGGCTCTCAGGTGGGACACTGTGAGTGAGGTGCTGGGCGTGGAAACCCCACCCCCAACCCCAGTACCACCTCGTTCACCACACATGGAGAGGAACCCAGACCCTGGAGTGCAGCCACTCTGTCACCCACTCTGTCACCCACTCCGCAACGTAAGCCCTCACTTGTGGCAAGGGACAGAAACCCCAGATGCCACAGCCCACAAAGCCCTGCCCTCACCTGGGACTCCTTGTTCAAGGTGCCCTCAGAGCACATCAGTCTGACAGACACCAGCATGGCCATGGTCTGGGCCATGCAGGAAAACCACCTCCTGGCACAGGGGCTGTAGATGCCAGCTGTGAGTGGTACCAGGTTGCATGTTGGGGCTGGTCTGCGTGCCGAGGCCCAGCGAGCGCGGGGGCGGCTCACAGTAGCATTGGGGTAGCTCTGTGTGGAGCTTGGGGACAGAGGACACACCTAGACCCTCTGGTCACCTTGGACCCAGCACACAGCCTGGGGGAAGGGCATCAGCTTTCAGTCTCCAAGAAACAAAACCAAACCTATGGCAGCCATGACAAAAAGACAAGGTTCCTTGCACTGTAATTAAATTCCTGCCTGAAGGCACCACCAAACCCATTCGCATCAGTGACCACAGTGCCCTGGGCTGTCTGAGAACAGCCACGAGATGGGAAGCCACAGAGGGGCCTGGCCTGAGGGCTCTCAACACCACTGTGAGGGGAGGGCAGCCCTAGTGCCAGCCAGGACCCCTGCTGACCCCCAGCCCCACAACACAGAGGGCTCTGTGCCTCTAGGCGTCTCCAGGGCGCTCCTGAACACAGGGCGCATCCTCACACCCCGCACCATCCTCCAAACAGTCCTCACGGCAGACCCAAGCCCCACTGCGATGTGATGGAATCAGAGCTCAGAAGCCAGTTAGTAAACGTGCACAGAACCAGCACAACCAATGGAAGAACACACCTCCGCCCCCTGCAACCTGGAGGGCACTGGAAGGGTCCTGCCTCTAAAGGTCCCAGCCCACCCGGGCCCGGACACACAGGGAGGCCCACATCCCAGTCAGGCTGGTGGCAGTGCAGAACGAGGGCCACCAGCAGCGAGGTACAGGCACACTCAGCTCCACCCTGGGGATGGCCAGCCCGTGGCTCGGCGATGTGTCTTCTCCCAAGTGAGGGGCTTCCCTGAATGAGGAGGCAAGGCTGGTGCATGCGGCGTGAGTGGAAGCCACCATGGAAGGACCCAGTGAGGGACAAACCAGAAGAAGTCCTTGGGGACCAAAGTCACAGGGCCCAGCCTCCGGCCTGGGAACCACAGCTTCAGCTGGCTTGCTCCCTTGCTTGTATGAGCAGGAAGGCCCTCTGAACCCTCAGGCCCTGCCCCTTGCATACCTGCGCCTGCCCAGACCCCACCTTCTCAGCCACTAGCAGAGGCACCTCTTCCCATGCACCTGCAATTTCTGCTTCACTGGCTCTGAAGATGAGAAGTAAGGCCCACCGTCCTGACCAGGCCTACTGCCCTCGACGTAGGCCATGACTAATGACCACGTTGCCTTCTTGCCTTGCATGAAGGATGCTAGGCACACAGGTCCTCTCTGTCCCGCATGTCACAGGGTCCCCACCGCCACTCCCTGGGACCAGCACATCCATCTATCACGAATGATCACAGTGGGAGCCACATGGCCTCCCTTAGCCCCCGAGCATTTGGCCTCTCTGAAACCAAGCTCTCCTCCGAAAGGCAGGAGGCAGCTACGGCTCCTCCTATGGGGCTACAGCCCTGGACATGGACATGCTGTGAGAGCCGGTCCACCACGGGGGCCATGTGCAGACTGAGTAGGACACTGAGGGCTGGCTCTTAGGGAACACCTGAGATGCGCCCTTGCTCCTGGGTGGCTGCCTCACTCCTGGAGGGTCCTGACCGGTGGACAAGGTGCCTGGGGGTCCCCCATGGGGGGACTACTGCCGGAGGCAGGGCCCACTCCCCGGCCAATCCCAAAGCAGAGATGCAGAGGTCGCTGTGCACTCACACCTACAAGCGAGTGCGCAGCGGGGCCCCACGGACGGAGCGCCTCCGCAGCACCCACATGGAAGCCGGCCTTCCTGCCACCTCACAGTTGGGCCTGAGGAAAATGAAGATGAGTTTCCTTCCCTCTGACAGTTCATTCTGTTTCAAATTCAAAGTAAAATGAAGAAGATCATCTAGAAAAATGTAAAAGCTTCAATTTCAAGTCACTTTTAATGCCTGTTTCATCTGACAGTAGCTTTGAAAGCAAAAGGCAATCTTTATCGTTTGAGGTTTTTAAGCTAAATTGACGTGATTATGTCCAACATAACCAGATGCTTCTAAAAGCTTGTTTTCAAAGTGACATCAACCCCCAAAATAAGAGAACCTTCTCTCTGGCTACTAACGAATCCCAAGACGTTATGTCCATGCAGGGCTGAGGCCAGCTCATCAAAGACCCCTCAGCTGCCCTCCTGCCCCACCGAAAGACCCCTCACCCCCCAGGGAAATGGACAAGCTCAGGCAGCCCTATCCCAGCGGGAAGTGCTCCGGGGCAGGCCACTCAGCTGCGGGGGGCATGCCGGCGGTGAGGTGCAAGTCTCTCCTTGGTGCCTGCGGATGGATGAGCTGCCGGAGAGGGGAGGAAGACCATCCTGGGAGAAGCCGGTGTGGCCTCAGGACGAGCATCTGGTGTCTGTCCCCTTTCCTGGCAGCAAGCTCCTAAGAGCCTGGGGTTTCTGAGGTAAGGGAGCATTTTGTCACTCGTCACGAGCCCCTTGCAACCCTAGCCCCAAGCTACAAGGGACTGAGGAGACTGCAGGAGGGGCTGGAGCAACCAATCACATGCTGTGGGGAGGGGGGCTAGGACTTCCAGGTAGGGGACCGCAGGTTGGGGCTGAGATCCTCACTGACAGCCAGTGACTTCAGCAGGGAAATTCCATCAACACCCCAGAGGGGAGCACACCCAGGTGCGGGGAGGGGTGCACCCATAGAGCACATGGAACCTCTGCACCCCCACCCCTCACCCCTGGTGCCTCACCGACCTGGCAGCTCTGACAACCTTCTTTGGAACAAACTGGTAACTGCACATAAAGCATTTTCCTGGATTCTGAGCTGTTCTAGCAAATCCTGGAACCGGGCTGGGGTTTGGCGGGAAGTCCTGGATCTGCAGGCAGCCTGGGGGCCCGGGACCGGGGTCTGGGGTCTGGAGTGGGGGCAGCTTGTGGGACAGAGCCTTTCACCTGGGGGGTCGGGTCAGAAGAGGGTAGAACAACAGAGCACCAGCTGGCCTCATGGGGTTGGGAAGTGGCATTTGGCGTCAGGAGGAAAAACCTAACACTGGAGAACAGTTGCCACCTGCAGGCCTCCGGCCAGAAGGGGCTCCTCCTTCATGGCCCCCATGGGGGGTTCCCTCCCTCACTGTGCTCCCGTGGGGGTGGGTTCCCGCCAGGGAAGGGGCTCCCTCCTCACTGTGCCCGTCAGGGGACTTTCTGGTTACTTGCCACCAGGGGCGTCCCAGTGCCAGCTCCTCCCTCTGGGCCCTCCTGAGCACACGGGTCTACATGCACACAAGCACGCAGACGCTTCCCCCCATGGTCTGGGTCCACACCGTGGATGGCTCAGTCAGAGCCCACGCCACGGCAAAGACAGAGAGGTTCCGGATCCAGGCACACATCCTTCCCATGGCCCCCATGCACCAGGAAGGCGATGGCGGCCTGGCAGCAACATGCGGTCTCGGCAGGGTCCCTGCCTCGAGGAAGCGCTGGGGAGCGCCCTGCCTCCTCAAGGCCAGTCCAGCCCCCACTCACTGAGGCCGAGGCCATGGAAACAGTGATGCACAGCTGTTCCCTGGCCAAGTCCAGGGGACACGCAGTCCCTGGCCCCGGGGCTGCTCCAAGCACTCGCACCCACGGCTACATGGGCAGGCACGCCTACCTGCTGGTGAGGGCGTTGTTCCTATCCTGCAAGGCGAGCTCTCGCTGCTGCAGGTCAACAACGAACCTGGAAAGGTCTTCCGGGGTCCTGCGGGATCAAAAACAGGTCAGCATCAGCCGTGCCCTCGGGGGACCTCATTCTGTGACCAGACCTGGGACAGGTCAAGCCCCACGCGCCATTCGTAGGCCAGCGTGGCGTGGCTATGCACACGCACCCCGACCTGGTTCAAACCGCAGCCCACCACTGGCCACGTAACACCAGGTAAATTACTTTCATTTGACATAATTTTAGTTCACCTGTACAAATAGATCAATAGCCAGCCAACAGGGTCACCGTGCAGGGGAGATGAGATGAGGTGTAGGGGTGCTCACCACAGGTCAGCATGCCCTCCCCCACCCAACAGTAAGAGACACCCACAAAGTGTGTGCTTTGTCGGCTTCAAGCTGCTCAGACCGGCTGCATCGGTTCCCGTAACTGATGAGGACATGCTCCAACGCCTCCGGGAAACTGAGAACACCTACCTCGTTGGGAATGTTCCAGACTTGTCCCACAGAACACGAGCTGAGGATTCCCTCGCCTGCAGTAGCAGGTGAGCTCAAGGCCAAGAGACCAAGCACAAAGCCATGCAGCACAGCATGCATGAGACACCACGGCCTCCTGCGTACCTGAAGGAGCCATGGGGCTGTGACCAAAGCTATGCCCATGAGACAGGCCCTCCCTGGAATAAGGGTCTGTCACGAAGCTATGGGGGTAGCTACTGGTCACTACGGTGTCCAAAGGCCCTCTTCCCAGCTTCTAACGGCACCTCAGTACCCGGCTTCCCCCTCGCAGTCGCCCTCGCAGACCCCCACCCCCAGAGGAGAAGCCCCTCACTGGGCCTGTGGGAACCCCGTGCTCCTCCCCAGGTGAGAGAATTTAAGGGACCTCACACAAGACCATCACCCAGGAGGGGGAGGCTGAGCCGGCCTTGGATGACAGCTCCCATTCTTCCGGGAGCTTCCTCAAGCCATGCAACCTCAGGACTTAAAGACACTGGCACAGAAAGAAAGACCTTTTCAAGCCAGGAGGGGGTCTTTCTGCAATGTGCCACAGAGACACTCGAGTGATCGTTTCTCTGCATTACTCAGGTAAAGGGGTGTGCAGACCGTGACTAGAGCCACAGGACCCCGGCCCCCAGCCCGCTACCAGCCCTGGAGGCATGGAGGAGGCCGGGCAGACGCCTCCTCTTCTGGCCCCGCCACATCTGCTCAGGCCCATGCAGAGGACCGTCAGCAGAGGGCCATCCAGTCTCTCGGGGCTCGCGGGGACCGAGGTGGCAGCTCTCTCCCAGAGGGCGGGTGGCCCGCGGCTCCCTCCAGTCATCTGGAACCCAGGCAGCGGAGTGGGAAGCGCATGACACCAATTTAGAAACCAGCTTCATGCCCTGCGGTTGGCATCGGGCCCCCGAAGCTGGCGTTAAGAGACGGTAGAGAGCCAGACTTACTCTCACCAGGCTCTCAGGCCTCCTTCCAAGCAAAGATAATTGAAATGAAACAATTTAGTGATGAGGGGAAACCATAACGGTTCAGAAGAGGGGAAAAGTGAGCTCAATAAGCCATCCTTGTGAGATGCCCCGTCCCACTGACGGCGGGCACCCGCGACCCCGAGCCACAAGGGACTGACTCAGGCCAGTGTGCACGGGCGCCCACAGGTGCGCCCACGCATTCACACGTGCGCATGCGCACACAGGTAGACACACCCGGCCATGCCCAGGTCACGGGGGTCTCTGCTCCTTCAGCTCAACACTCACGCGGAGGCCATCAGACACCCAAGTCCTGCTGGACATCTGGGCGGCCTTCAGGGGCCTGGCCCTACAAACAAAGCAGTGAATCCTTTCCCTCCCTTCCCCCCGGGGAGAACACAGGCCCCGCCCACATAGCCCACTCATCTGAGGCAAGGGACGTCTGTGGCCTAGGTCGCCTGGGCCCATGCTGCCCCTTCCGGAGTGGATGGGTGGTCCCCCACACAAACCAGTCTTGAGGATCTGGCTCACACGCCTGCGGGGACCCTCAGTGGGCTGGTCCTTGGCCACAGTCCCAGCCCTCGAATCCCAAGTGCCACCATTCAGATGAGCCACCTCTCCTGGCAGAGCAGGGACGCGGGCTGCAGACACCTAGACTGCACACACAATGCCCACAGCCGCCCCTGCCTTAGGCCAGCCTGCAGCCGCTGGAGGCCACGCTGCCACCCCACAGCCTTTCCCTTGGTGGTCTATGTACGGGGCCCAACACCCACAGCTCCAACTTTGGCTACATCAGGACCCAAGGACCTATCTGGTCACTCCCGCCAACACTCGAAACCCAAAGCACAGAAAACTCCCGGCCACGCTCCAGAATCCCCCACCCGACCTCAGCGACAGAGAAAAGACGGGACATTTTTCAAGAAAGAGACAGAACGGGTTCAGTCACACCCAAAAAACCACAGGCTGGCACGCCAGCGCGACAGGGCTCCTTGGGCCTATTTCCAACCCTGGGCCCGAGGCACGCAGCAGCATGAGCACCCGAAAACCCTCACACAGCCGTCAAGCACACAGAGTAGGAAGAGACGGAACCTCTGCAACTGTCTGGTGAGGTACACAAGCCAATCTGTGTAACGCCGCGTGGGAAACAGGGACAAGGCATAGGTGACAATGACAGTGATGTGTCACACCTCATTACATAACAGAAGAATACAAAGTCCAACATGAAATAAGTAATCAAGACGTTAAACTATGTGCAGTCTTGTGCACCCTCAGTTCCACAGCTGATCAAGAAGAAAACTCGTTCTCCTGGAGGACCGCCATGTAGGAGCTTCAGTTAGAAACAGTGCATGGGGGGGTGAAGATTCTGGAATGTTCCACACAAGAAAAAGTAGAGACAGGGAGGTGGGTTTTGCAATGGGTGGACACTCTAAAGCCAGAAGGGTGAGCCAGGGGCGAGGTGCCCGGCTACAAGTGACCTCTCAGGAAGCTGCCCCAGCACTCGCTGTGCTGGGAAAATGCACCCCAGGAGAGGACGTGGGTGGATCAGGCACTGAAGGACTCAAACCAACCAGGTCACCGGGGCCCAGGGGAGGGCCTTCAGGAGCAACCAGGTCCCCGGGGCCCGGGAGAGGAGCTTCAGGAGCAACCAGGTCCCTGGGGCCCAGCAGAGGGTTTTCGGGAGGTGTCTGGGGGCAGCACAGACAACAGCAAAGGTGAACTCGCTCGTCCCCAGGTCCCCGTCAAGCAGCTCCTCCAGGAGGAAACCCAGGACGCCTTCCCTGTCTGGTGTGTGGCTGCTATGACCTGGCTGTGCCGCCCCCATCATCCCGAGGGGGGTCAGGCCGTTGGACAGGGTAAGAAATGTACCCAAGAGGGGAGTCCACGCCCGCCAACCCAGAAATCCTCTTCAGGGAATGCGCCTCAAGGAAGGAACGTGTGCGGCTCTGCAGGCGGGGTGGCAATCTGTCTTCTGAACCCCGATAAAATGTCCCTGATATAACACTTACCCTCCTAAGCAGCATCCAGCTTGGGGTATTGAGGGCCTTCACTTCCAGAACTTTTTCATCTTACCAAACTGAGACCGGGTCCTCATCAAACGCCCCCTCCACACCCATCCCCGACCCCAGGCACCCCCGCCTACTGTGTTTGTGGACTGGACATGAGTAGGGCCACACAGTCCTATCACTGAGCACCACATCAGAAAGGTCCACCCATCTTACAGGTGATGTCAGAGCGTCCTTCCCTCCCAAGGATGCATGACACTCCCGCATGTGGACAGACCTTGTCTTGGTTCTCTGTCATCAGCTGCCTATCAGCTGTCGTGGGCACGCTGTGAACGCGGGCACGCTGTGAACGCGGGCATGCAGCTATGTGTTCAAGTCTGTGCTGCTGACTCCTGGACATATGCCCAGAAGCAGAATAGCTGGTTCCATCCTAGTGTTTGGAACAGCCTCCACGCTGTTTCCACAGGGGCTGCCCAGCTTACATTCCCCACGTCATTATCCCTAATGTTTAAAAAAAAGTTGAATAACAGACAATAAGGAGGTTCTCCACCTAAACATGGGTGCTGTTTCCCCGTGAGACTTGCTGCCAGGCTCAGCGGTGGGCAGGCAGCTGCCACAGCAGCACATGGCAGGGGGACAGCACAGCAGGCGCACTCACAGGACAGGACAACGGGACCCACAGGGTTCCACGGCTGGGGACACCGGAATGGGGAGGGTCATCTGGATTGGGAGCAGTGGCCTATGTCACCTGCAATCACTGCAGTGCACATACCTCCACCTCTCGATCCACAGACTCGAAACCCCTGGAAATGGCCCAGGACCTACAGATGAGCTCTCCGTGTTCCCTACATACAACACAGAACCCTGGTCACTTGCAGAAAAACAGGGGCAATCTCAGCAGAAAATCACCCTACAGACGCTGCAGGTCACGCCATCAGGAACCCACCCACTGCACATGTGACAGAGAAAATATTCTCTGAGGTTCTCTGTCAACTTGATTTGGGGATTAGGTCCAAATCAAACAGAAGAACCCTAGAAGACAAGGCCATGAGCCACCACAGCCCACATTTTATGGTGGGGGCACAGACGCACAAAGCAGCCCGCGTGCCCAGCCACACAACCCACAACCACCAGACTGAGGGCACACCCAGGCTGCTTTCATACAACAAGATACACACACCATGCCATGAAAACAGTAAGGACAGGTGACAGGCACATGATTCTAAACACTAATGCATGTGGGTCTTTTGACACCAAAAAATACACACACTGAGAAAAGAAAACCAGAAAGTAAGATCAACGCATTACAAATGCATCTGTGTTGGGGGCACCTGGAGGGCTCGGTCAGTTGAGCGTCTGACTTCGGCTCAGGTCACAATCTCACGGTTTGTGGGTTTGAGCCCCACGTCCAGCTCTGTGCTGACAGCTAACTCAGAGCCTGGAGCTGCTTCAGATTCTGTGTCTCCCTCTCTCTGTGCCCTTCCCCTGCTTGCAGTCTGCCTCTCTCTCCCTCAAATATAAACATTAAAAAAAAAAAAAAAAAAGCACGTGCTTTTCTGTGTATAACACGTTTTACGTGTTTA